CTTTCCCTGTTGTATTGTGTTTCACAGAAAATCAGGACAAAACCTATCAGGTTTTTCAGATGTAAATGGGGTACTGACAGACAGCCCAGTCTCAAGTTGTTACTGATCTGAGCAGCTGATGTTTTTACAGTTAACTGAAGGATTTAAGTATTTTTTCAGATAGGGTGGGACCAGAGCCATGGTGCTACAAGGAGTCTCTTCTTTGTACAGACCCCTGCATAGTCCCTTCATTAGAGAAGCTCATTGCACCTCACAAACTTTCTTCCATGATCTTAAGCCTTCCAAGAGGATTATGTTGGGTGTATATCAGAGAGAGAAGAAACTGAGGCAGAACAGTTCTGATTTTTTCAGAACTGCAAAAGAAATCACAGTGGTTCTGGAAATAAAACATGCAAGTTTGCTTCTAACCCCTGACACTGAGCATGAAGTCCCAGCACTGCACCAATTCTGCATGTGGCCAGGGAACAGGACAGTCAGGCAGCAGGAGGGGAGGAGCTTGAATGTGGGCTGGTGTGATAACCATGCCTCAATGAAAGGACCCGTCAACCCAGGGCTGATGCTGCATCTTTTTATTTTGTTTTTATTTTGCTTCACTAAGCAAATGCAGAGCGAGTGATAGAAGGAGGGGAAAAGGTGGCTTGAAAAAGCAAAAAGCCCAACAAAACCCAAACAAAAAACAAACAGGAGGGAAGAGGCAGCTGCTGGAGTACAAGGGGAAAGTGAGCTGCTAACAAGAAAGAAGTTCATAGATGCCAAGCCCGCATTAATTCTTAATAAAATACAATACTGAAAATAGGATCTGAGAGTCTCCAAAATACAATATCTTAAGGGATTGGCAATAATACAAAATAAGGTTCATTATGTACAAACGAGTTCTGCTCTTGGTCTCTGTACAACGGTGGGAGTGGGAGGCACTGGGACATGCTCAGTGGAAGTGCTGGGATGGAGGAGGGTGTGCTTGGACCCGGCAGTGGTTCTTTGTGCTGGGGTGGAAGACAGGGAAGGCAGTGGTATCTGGTGGCCAGTGGGTCCTGTGTGAACCTCAAGAAAAGCAGAGCTATGCTGAAGGCCTTCCTCTTCCTCATCCCACTGGCCATGCACGTTGGTTGCAGCTAGCTGTGTCCAAATTTTTCCTAAATGGCTTCACGGGGCAAAAAAAGTTTTTAAAAGGGAGAAAAGAGGGATGTGAGGGCCCTTCCCTCACTTCTCCCAGTCCTTGAGCAAAAGCCATCCCATCCTTCCTCTCCAGAGAGCCCTCTCCACTCCCAGCCTGGAGGGAGAGGAGGGGCTGGGGCAGTGCAGAGTGAGTCCTGGGTGCTTGGAGAGAAATAAACCAAAGAGGCTCCTGCTGTGAGACCTGGCAGAGTGCACAGGATCCCAGATCTCCAATACTCATGTCCCACATTGTTCTTCCATCAAATGGCAGCTGAGGGAATGGAGTGAGCAGACACCTGAGCCTTTCAGCAGGGCTTTTGTCAGGGAGGAAGAAAGGTCAGAAATGGGTGTCTGGGTGCTGAAGAGTATGACATAGGCTTGAGGTGAGTTCATTTCAGCACCAAAATTGGCAGGGCTGGCCTGAAGGGTGTGGTATGGCACGAGTTTGCTACCTTTGGTGCTAAGACTTGAAGGAAGAGGTCTAAAACAGTCTTTGGTGACCCTGGCCAATTCCAACATGCCAAGTCTTTCCTGACAGATGTTCCTGTCACCAGAGATGACAAGTATGTCCTCAGTGTCTTTCACAACACTGCTGTGCACATGGAGGATGTGAGGGGAATGATGCCTATCTGATGTGCTGCAGAGCTCTCCTTGGTGGTTCCTAAAAAGACCTCATTTGTCATGAAGCAGAATTTGGGGGTGAAGAGCTGAGATGGGGATCAGGCTATGGAAGCAGGTTTCTCACACCCACTCTCAAAGGAGGAGGCCTGCAGAATGGAGTGAGAAGGCCACTGACCTGGTTAGCACTGCACTGTAGGGCCCAAGCTAGGAATAGAAAGGGAAATACCACCTCTGTCAAAGCAGGGGTGCAGCGGATGGGAAGAAGTGGGTTGTGGGGGAAAAATGCACTCTGTTTCAGAGCTCTGGTTGCCCAGAAGCTGCTGGCTAATTTTTATGGTGGTTAATCCGTCTGGGATCTGTCTCCCCCACTCCGTTTGTGTGCAGATCTTTGCAGATAGTTGGCGTGGAAGTTACATAGGCATGTCCATAAAGAGAAAACCAGAGCAAAGAAGAACTAGGTTTTCTCTCAATGGAAGCAGAAACATAGTAACAGATGGAGGGGAAGGAATGAGCTCAAACTCTCCAGAGCCATCTCTGCAGCACCAGCATCACCCACTCCTAAGCCGCCCTGGCAGGACAGTAAATCCAGCACACTCTCTCTCTCCTTCAGGTGCATCTGATGTAGCCAAGGGGTACATGCCTGGGACAGCCCCCTTGGTCTGGAGGCTTTGGGAGGAGATGTGAATAGTTTGAGGGCTTCCCCATATCTCCCTCCACTCCAAGGCAAGCCCACACCCATAGGGTAGTGCTCATGTAAGCAGGAGGTAAGGCCAGAAGAGGGCATCTCAGGGCTTCACCAGACATTTCTTGCTGGTTCTGGCAGTCCTGAGACTCCCCAGAGATCAGTACTAATGGGGCAGGGGCGTACATGGGGAAGGGGAAGAACTGAACCCAAGGCCAGTTAAGAGTGTCTGAATGCAGTGTCCTCTCCCACCAAGTTCCCTCAGTTGCTCAGTGAGGAGGGAATCCTGCAATCAGAAAGATGAGGCCTTGAGGTCCAGCAGCCGCTACAAGTATTCAGCTGTCTCACTGGAACTTGTCTCCCTAAGGAAAAGAAAAGACAAGGCATCAGTCAAGGTTCAAGGTTCATGGCAGCCTCCTATGCGAATTCACCTCTCTATGTGTCCAGCTGGTTTGCTCTGACCAGGATGGAGACCTTGCCCAAGGCATTGAATGACCAGAAAGCCTGAATCATCCAGTCCTCCTCAGCTCTATGCCAGTGAGACACTGCTTTATTGAGCCCCAGACTTCTGCTCTAGAAAATAAACTTGGTCTTATGGTCCCTACAGCATTTGTCCCCTCCAGCCCCTGCTCTTTAGATAACTGTCTGTCTCAGGCAGCTCAGCTGTCCTTAGCTTGCAGCAGAGGGGACATGCCTGCTGCTCACTCCCAGATACCATGCTGTGTCTTTAGGCTCAGAGGGTGGCCCACCCCTGCTTACCTCTCATGGAATTGCTCTTTGAGGTGGGTGAGTGTTGGGTCAGTTCGGTTCTGGTCAGAACTCTCCAGCTGGGATTTGCTTAGATATTTGGTTGTCTCATGTGTTCTGGCTAGATGAGGCCCTTTGTCCTCAGGCTGCCCTTTTTCAGCTTCCCACCCCTCGGGATGGTCCACGGTTAGGAAGGAGCTATAACTCTCTTCTAAGGAGCCAGCACCCTCATCATAGTAAAGGAGGCTCCGTGACTGAACTGGAAAAAAGGAGAGCACTGGTTAATGATGAGGACAAGGTCTCTTGCATGCGTGTGGGTCACAGTGATGGTTTCAGCACATGCTCACCCAGCTATGGCCTTGCCCATATGTAACTGTGCAGGAGGCCTGCCCTGCAGGATACCTGCCTCCCCACAGCTTCAGGAGGCAAATGCCCCCCTGGGCGTACAGCCTTTTCAGAAGACAATCTATCTGCCCTGGGACTTTTTCCTCATGTTTCTTCCTTTGACATTTGTCATGTCTTGGGACAATGGTTAGCAGAGATTGAAAAAAGGCCCAAATAAGGTGCTGTTATCAGAGTTTGTACCACTTATAGGACTGCAATCTCCCCTCACCACAGCCCCAGTGTATGGGGTAGGCACCAAGGGGAGGACACTACCCTTGAACCAGGAGTGTTGAGAGAAGAGCTGGAAATTGTTTGACAGGGTGAAATGGAGGAACCATGTTAGACTCACTCTTACTAGTTGTGTAAATGTCTGGTGCTGGTGTTGCTTTCACTGTCTGCGATGCTGAAGAGAACTCAGGGAGACAGGGCATCAGGGATCCCAGGATCAGAACAAAACAGAGTGCCAGGACCTAGAGCAGAGGTCAGAACAGAGTTAGTGATGCTAGCCATGAGGAAATACTTCCCCTGAAGCACACAAACACAAGGTTGTGTGAGGACATGTGGTCGGGCTGGCAGCTGGGTTGCTGTGGTCCCCTAGTGAAGAGCTTGTTCTGCTAATCCATGCTACCAACCTAAGGGAAGTGAGAAGCTTCCTTGTGTTACTTTATTTGAAGTATTTTTGGTTCAATGGCAACAACTTGCCCACCCAGTTGATGAGAGAAGATGGAAGGTATAGCTAGGGTATAAGCTGAGAAAAAGGAAGACTCAACAGAAAGGATTAACTCTTCCTTGACCAAAGGGAACCTGACTATTGGCTCAGTAGGAGCTGTAGTGGGCTATAAGAAAACAAGCCTGCTGGGAGAAATCTGTGAGGTACCACTGCACATAGCAAAAAGAAGCTACTGGCCATGTGAGGACAAAAGTGACAACAGAACTGCAGCCTCCTAATACCTGGCAGCAAGGATGGAGAGTCCAAGGAAAGGGTTAAATTTATTCTTGACACACATCTATGCAGGACCATGTGTCCATGCCTTCTGCTGTCAGGCAGACCAGTCAGAGCTACTGGGCAGTGATAAAGGAGAGAGGCAGATGAAAGCTCCCTGGAAATCCTCCTCTGGTAGGTCTGCACCTGCCTGCAAATTCTGCCATAATGGTGGCAGAGTGAGATGCCATTGCTGATGTTAAGGGACTCTATAGAGTTTAGGGAACGACCTGTGCAGAACAAGAGGGGACACATGGGAAACGATACAGAGCCAAATTCTTACTACCTGAATATCCATGTACCATGGGTGGTTTGTAACTACCTGCTGCCATCTCACTGCTCAGACTGAGCACATCAAAGAGACAATGCTTGTTGGTCATTTCTACTGCTGAGGTACAAACTAGCTATGTTTGACCTGTGGGGACAGCCACTGATTGCTTGATTGCTTTTAGGAATAGTTATATCTAAATAACACACAGAAGCTGGTACATTGAGGTCATTTTGACCACCAGTGGATTCCAGGAGATGTAGAAGCATAATAGCACAGGAGCACTACATGATGTAAAGAGGGATTTTAATTGTCCAGACTCTTCATAGGTGGCTTTAAAGTAAGAAACTTAAACATGGACAGCATAGATGCTAAGCACATCAGATCAGGCACATTAGGCATTTAGAACCCTTATTCCATAAAAACAGGAGAAAAAAAGAAATTCTGAATAGATGTTGCTTGGAATTATCACAGCCAAATACAAATTCCAGAAAGGGGAGCCTGCCCTGTGAAGCCTATTCTTCTAAAACAAAACAGGCTTTATGGGCTGAGAAAGAGCAGTGTACTCAACATCTTGCCTTAACAGGGCTTTCAACTGGGGCTTTGCAAACCAGCATTGTTTTTAATCTGTTTTGTTTCAGGTTAACTCTGATTGATGCTTGGATTCAGATTCAGTTCAAGCTCTGTAATTGCTCATAGCAATAACTCTTGGATTGACTCTGAGTACCATTTATCTCACAGATTTCATCCATCTCACCATTTTGACCTCTTAAAAAGTGGGAGAAACTAAGCTAGAGGAAAATACTGCAAATCCAGTTGAAAAGGTAGAGGCAAAATTAATTTTTAAAACCCCCAGAAATCCTGAGAGTGTAGTTATCAAATAGTTCACTGTCAAATTGGGAAGAAGTAGCAACTGGAGTAGTGAAGAGATCCACTATGGCTCTGGCAAGATTCAATATTTTTAGGCTTGATTTGGGATGATGGACTTTATCAAATCTGTAGATGGAAGAGACTACAAGCAGACTGGATTTTGGCCAGGATCTAAATTCAGAGTAATCTTGACCATGAGGAGAAGTGATCCACAAGAACAGTGGGCAGATCCATACAGATAACTGCCAAGACCTGCTGAGACCTGTGAGGTGGAAGGACTGATTAGCAAAGAAAACATGTCAGCAATGACATGGCCAGGCAACTGTTCTACAGAAGAGGATTGGGGAGTACAGAGCACAAAGTGGGCACAAGTGTCACTTTGCAAAGGGCAAATCTCAGCCCAGGCAGTATGAACAGTTTGCTGGCTGCCTGGCTGGGTCTGCACTGCCCTTCAGGTGGAACAATTTTACAGCTTTGGGCCTCATACTTCCAAAAGGACACAGGGCAATTGGAGAAAGTCTGGAAGAGAGCTCCAGGAACAAGCTGCTGCTTGTTCAGTACCTCAGCCTACAAGGAAAGACTGAAGAAATTATGGTGATTTAGCCAAGCAGACTGAAGGGAGTTGCTTGAAAACAACAGTTTTCAAATGTGTAAAATGTGCTGCACAAAGGGAGGGTAAACTGATCTTGCTTACAGTGGGCAGAAGTTGTAATAGGCTTAAGCTGTTGCAAGGAAGACTGAGACAAGACAGCAAGAAAGCTTTATCTGGGAAAGATAACAAAGCACTGGAATGGTTTGCCTGAGGAGGCTGAGGACTGCTCATCACTGAAGGCCTTCAGAAACTGGCTGGACCAATACCCAGCAAGAATGACACAGAGCTAAAAAAGAAGGGTACTTTGCTCCACTCCCATGCTGCAAGGCATGATGATTCTACATATCTGTTGTGATAAGGAGTGCTGTATTTGAAAATGGAAAATGGGAACTCGGAGGCCTATGAGATGAACTGGCCAAAGACAGAATAACCAATTGCAAATTCTTGAAATGCTTCAGAACTAAGAAGCCTGAGAGAGTCGGTGTGTGGGCTGGGATGTGTGGAATGAAGGGAGCAGCAAGGAGAGATAAGACATTGTAGAGAAGCTAAATTAGGTATTTTGCCAGCCTATAGACTGGGGATGTCTGCAAAGGATCTCATTCCAGGTAGCAGCAATGAAGAACTGCTAGAGCCAGGGGTGCTCTGATGAGCTGCTGCATTAAGGAGCAATGAGTCACTGGGCTCAGCTGGGTCACACCCAAAAATGTGAAAAGAACTTGGGAATGAAGCCACAGAGCAGCCAACAGAAAAGACAGGTCATTAAAATCTGGTCTGACACATAGGCAGCAAAAAGTTGCAGAAGTCTGAGCAGATTTTGAAAGGAGAAAGTGCTGGAAATTTCAGAGCAGGGGCTCTGGAACCAAGGAAACTGATTGAACCAAGTGCAAAAAACAACCCCTCAGGACACTGAGGGTGCTGAGAAAGTGGGGCAAGCACCTCACCATTTGCTTGGATTTCATGACTGTTAACAGTACAGAATAACTAGATATAGATAACTAACTTTGACAAATTTGTCTCAAGCAGCTACTATGGCAATCATGCAAAGACATCACAGGGTTGAAGGTTATATTTTTATAATGGATCAGAAACTTTCCCCCTGGCAAAAAAGGGGATAAAGAATAAGCAATTCAGTCTATTTATGGCCACATACTGGCATGCTCCAAAGCTCCACAGTGAAACCAATATTGCTTAACCATGATTCTCCACTATGAGAAATGAGAGGCAAACAGGGACTACTAAAACCAATGGACAACCCTGAATCATTTTGGTTAGGCAAAAGGGCAAACAAAGAGAATTCCAGGTGGATTTAACATAGCCTGATGTGCTTGCCTATAGCAAGAGCAGATGCCATTTCTTGCTGATAAATGCAAGGTAATGCCCACTGGGGGGAATTCTTGAACTGTTTGTCTGCCCTGCTGAGTTAAACATTAAGCATTACCAACTCAGCAAAAGAAAACTCTACCCATTATCATGAAAACTCATTGAAGATTTTTGCTGAATGGCTGACAGCAAATGAAAAACAAACAAAGTGCTATTTTTCCCTAAGAACACAATAGTGAAAACACAGGATTTTTTCTAATACTGTTGCATCAACAACTGACACGACCAATGTATGTATGACACAGGGCCCAGTTCTGGTGACTCTTGCACAAAAGGAGAGATCAGACATAAGTGGCAACAGAGCCAGGAAGCTGTCTGGGAAATCATGGCAAATAGGAAGATGGATATGAAGCTCATACCATTAGGCAGGTCCCAGTCTGTGTGGAAGCCATTTTGTAAGGTCGGGAGACTTTCCCAGCTACTAGAGCCTGCAGCTTCTGTAACTGCTGGAGCAGAGTCCTAGGATAGGAAACAACCCAAATTAAAACTTGATAAGGAGGTAACAACCAGTAAGTGGTGCCTCAAAGCCCAGCCAGTCATCTCCCAAAGCAGTGGAGAGGTGGGCTACCATGAAAACCAAACTCTGGGAGAGTGGCTGAAGTTTGTAGTCAGGTCAGACTTCAAGCACAGGCCTGCTTGCTCCCACTTGTCTCAAGAGGTACTTGCTCTGCTTCTCGACCTGTGCCCTGAGCCATATGGTGTAGAGAGAAACAAAACCCAATTTTGCTCTCCTCCAGCTTCTTCAATCTTGGCAAACTCTGAAGAGGGATGTGGGCAAAGGCAAACATTGAGTTCAGCGATTATTTCATTCTCTGGCTGCCCTGGCTGGAACATGTGCTAAGGTCTCTCTGCCCCATTTAACTGAACATGAGCATCAGCACACATAAGCACAGAACAGTGGTAGGTGTGTTACTAGGAGCCACTGAACCCTTCATTGGGCTGGTGATGAAATTTGTGAGGAGGGAGACCACAGAGCACACAGTTCCCAAGGGCTGCAAATTACTGAAGTGCAGACTACTGAGTGTTTTCCCCTGGGAATACTAACTGGTTTACACAAATATGTTTGAGCTTTTATAAAATGCCAGATCCTGGAGCCAGGAGATTGCAGGAGAATCCTAGCTTTGTCTTTTTCCAAATTCTCTTCTGTTCCTTGTTTGTGTGAAGAGAAGCACAGGGCATCCCACTGGCAGTGCTCAAAAACCAAACCAAATTAGAAAGAACACAATGTGTTATTTAAAAAAAATCCTGGATTTTAGGCCAATCTCCTGATTTTGCAGGGTGGGGCTCATGCTTTTTCAGCAGCAGGGGCTGCCTGCACTCCCAGCAAGGACATGCATCAGGCTGTCCCTTGTGGATGAGAGCAGCTGGGCAGCTGGGAGGTTCCCAGCCACTTGCACACACCTCAGCCAGACCATGCCTGGTCCCAGCACCATTGGCTGGCCTGGCAGCCAGGGCTCCAGCACTTGTGTCATGGATGGTAGGAAGGAGTGCAGCACAGCCTCAAAGAGTACTCCACAAACTGTAGTGGCAGCAGAGGGTAGGGTGGGGGGACTGGCTCTTCCCTTCAATTTTAGCTGGATGTTATAGAAACAGGGCTATAGAAATGAGCTTTCCCCCTCAGCAGCCCTGCAGCTGACCCTGTCCTTGCTCACACCTATTGCACCCAGTTAGAGGGAGCATAGCTGAGCCTTCCTCCAGCTCCTGCTGCCCATCCCAACTACAGGGGTAGAAGTCTTCATTATTTGCTTCCACGGGAGCAAATTCCCCTGGTGATCAGTTGGCCAGCTCTGCATATTAGGAGCACAAGTCTGATATTCACCAAGTCTGTTCAGCTCTTTCTCAAGAGAAATCTGAAACAACCACATTATGCCCAGGGCCTTGTATTCCTCTGAAGAGGCCAAGAGCAGAAATACTGGGGCTGAGAGGCTGGTGTGAGTGGCTTCCCTCAGTGCAACTGCCCTGGAGACAGCCAGAGGCCTGGAGGGCAATGGGGAGGGCAACATGAGCTCAAAGGGCTACAGGGAGAAGGAGAAAGAGATGTGTGAGAAAGATGCCTTCTCCCCCTCCCTCCCCTTTCTGCAGCATGGCCTTGTCCCAACACAAACATTCCAGGCTCACTAACCAAACCCAGCTGCCTCGCTGCTACCACGGGCTGAAAACCAGTGCCTCACTGAGCAGGACTTATCTCACCTGGAACTGAGGGAGCCTGCCTTTCTCTTCTTGCACTCCTGCCCCAACACTCCCCAGGCTTCCCTTCCTGCCCACCAAGGGTCAGGTCTAGCCCCTCTTACCTGTTTGCATTCTCTAAGGTCTCCACTTTTTTCCAGAGTTCATTGTTTTCTGTTGTGTACGTCTCAACTCTGTGGAAATAAAACCCATAGCTGGTTAGTTACAGAGGTCAGAGAGACAAAGCAAATATAGTCCATGCCTCTCTCAGGGTGTGGAGGCTTGGTGGCCCCATCCATCGCCTGCAGATACGGTCCTGGAGCCAGATGTCCCTTGCCCATCTGGCTTCAGCCAGCCTCAAAGAACCAGGGATGAGATTGCAACTGGACAGCTGTGTGTGACTTCAGGCTTTCCCAAGGGCTGGGAAAGTCAGCAGCACTCAGTCACAGGCAGGTCAAGTCAGGACAGACCAAAGTTATGTAGGCATTTCCATCACTTCCAAACCCCTCCAAGGAGCATGGAAAAGGAGCAGACGGGCAAACTCAAATCTGTGCCACTCAGACTGAGAACCTTGGCCCTGCTGTGCTCCCTGCCCAAGTAAACCAGGCAGTTCAAGTGCAAACGCTGGGCCAGCTCCGACTGCAGGCACTTGAGGGCAGCAGAGAACTTGCAGGCTCACTGCCACCGCTTCGGAAGGGAAAGTGGTTAGTTAAGGGGAGGAGGAAAACGGGAATGTCTGCACGCCCGGAGGAAGGCAGGCCAGGGACACACAGCCTGATCCTGTTAGACGTTTCCAGTGCTGCCTCCGACCCAGGTGTTGCGTGTAAAAACTGGGCTTGCAACAAAGGTGTCAAACTGAATGGTAAAGGACTCAAGTACAGGTCTTGACAAACCAGCTCTTACAGAAAGCCAAGTTGACCAAAGACTTGTTGCATTAACAAAACTCACTGAATGCTGCTTTTGGTTCACATTTAAACCTGGCATTGTTTGAAAGCCATCTGTCACAGCAACGCACTGGTGTAACAAACTGCTGAGTACACACAGGCACCACAGCCACGTCTGGGGAAGAGGCCCCAGCACAGAAAGTCCTGGACCTGCCACTTGAGCAAGGCCAGCCAACTCCCCAGCCCCAGATTGAAGGATCTGGGTGTCAGTATGGGACACTAACTGGAGCTCATATGCTTTGATGCCTGGACACACACGTGCACGCCAGGGTGCTGCTTATGGAAGGGCAGGAGAACTCGAAGGTGATTCAAGTCATCTGTTTTCATTCAGGATGGTGCTAATAACAGGAACAAGATGGTATTTAAACAGAAATGCAGGGGCTGGTAGTAGAAAGAGGGCCACAGGTGTAGGTCTCCAAGAGTTATTTTCTACCACATCAGTGTCATATGATGTCACCTTTGCCTTACGCCTGCCACACATGCAGGACCACAGGGTTGCAAGGAGAAAAACAAAGCTCATGCAGGCAAATGTGGAAGGGGAGAGACTGTGGGGAATAACTCTAGTTCAAGGTTTTTCTTGCTGTCAAATGCTTTAGTGTCCACCTTCACCAGAAGAGAAGGGTAAAAGCCGTGTTAAGTGCCCCCAGAGGGCCGGGAACTTATGGGACTGACAGAATATAGGCAACTTCTAGTGGGGGAAACATGACTCTTTCTTACCTCAAATCCTACCTCCTTGGCAGGCAAAATGGCCTGTGTTCTGCAGGGGACCAGCCAAACTAAGCAATTGGAAACAAAAGGTTTCTAGAGCAATCTTTACCCAGCAAGAGAATTTCTAGGAGAGAGAGGAGTAGGGGCTGGATCCCAAACCAAACTTCTGTGCAGCCAGCTTTGCAAGGAATCATATTCTTTGAGCAATTCAGAGACAAAAGCACTAGAAAGGGGGGCTGTGCATGGACAGGGCTCCTTTTTAAAAGTTAGGACTGAGAAGAAGGAACTTACTTTTTCTCTAGACACTCCACATACTCTTTCTTCTTCCGGCGACTCTCCTGAGCAGAGATCTGTGAGAGGGTCAGCCATCAGAGAGGAGTCATTATCATAAGCCTCTAGACATTTCTTTGTGGCTCCCTCATCTTGTCTGCTCCCTGCACACAGCACCCCTAAAGGTAAATGGGGAAGTCACCTTCCAGTCTGCCATTGCTACTGGTCTGAGGCCAAAACTGGGAGGGATGGATGCTGTAGGGATGCAGCCTTCTTAGGCCTGTAGGTCACAACCATTTGTTGCAGCGTGCTGGACCCCCTTGCTTCTGAGAGCATCTTTAGGGTCGCTTTGAACTCCTCTGACTCACATGGGTACGTACTGTGGCCACAGACCACTTCTGAGTCACTGGGTGACTAACTCAGGGTCTTATAATTTCTTCCATGGGATGCTTTCTATTCACAGTCTAGTCTCACAGCCTCTGCCTGGCTAATGAGCTCTATGCATCACTCGTCCTCCACCATGCAATGGCTCTTGGTTCCCCACCCCCAAGCAAGGCTTGACTAGGTCTGTTTGTCTGACCTCTGGTGCCTTAGTTTGTGGTGCCCATCATAGGCCACAAACTTGCAGGAGTTGGGCTGGAAACCACACTCCCCAGATACAGCTGCATGTGCAGCACTCATGCAAAGATGCCCATGGCACCATTTCTGTAAGTTGGGAGCCTCATACCAGTGCAGCAAAGGCAGGATCCCACCTCTTCTGAGCTGCACTGCAGCTGAGGAGGTGAGGGCAGCTACAGCACTGGTCAGCCAAGGATGCTCTGGAATCATGGGAACTGTAGGATTATGGGTTTTTTTGAACAGTCACCTTGTTCTTGATTTTCCTCCTGACCCTCTTCAGTGCTTTCTCCTCTGCTTTGGTGAGGGGGAGCTTGGTAGGAATGGGGTAGCCCTCAGCAATCAAGGTGCGTTTCTCCTCTTCAGTCAAGAGCAGTGGGCCAGAGGTCCCTTGTAACTTCTGAAACACACAGAGAGCAGCTCTCAGCATCAGCAAGGACTCCTGTCCCAGTGGTGCTCCTTGAAGCCTTGCAGAGCAGCTAGGGGCTCAGTGCAAACAAGAGCAGGGCAGTGCTCTTTCCTGTTCTCAGCTGATCCTGCAGGCATAGCTCTGCAGCTGCTTTCCCCTTTTACTTGGGAGGACAGCTGCTTCTCTGTGGTGAGGCTGGCTACACATTTGCACTGCAGGACACTGCTGAAGAACTTTTGGGCAATGGTTAAAAAACAGTCTGGTTATTGGAATTCTCAATATTCCCTTCTCTTCCATTAATGTCCTCAAAGTCCTCCAGTGCAAAGGCCATTTCCCAAAGTACGAGGTGAAAGACAGCACTTCCTAAACCAAGGCAGGTATTGTGCAAGACTCATTGCACATCTCTTTACTCCTGAGCACAATTTTTTTCCCACACCCCTGTGGCTAGGACATTGCATTGCCTTGCCAGAGCACGGAGTCAAATTGGAGGCCTGTGGCCAGTGCTGTTCCCCAGGGATCAGTACTAGATACAGTTTTGTTCAGTATCTTCATCAACGACCTGGAGAAGGGGATAGAGTGTACCCTCAGCAAGTTTGCAGATGATACGAAACTGGGAGGGGTGGCTGACACACCAAAGGGCTCGGCTGCCATCCACTGAGGTCTAGACAGGCTAGAGAGCTGGGCAAAGGTGAACCTAATGAAGTTCAGTAAGGACAAGTGTAGTGTCCTGCACACGGGGAGGAATAACACCAGACACCAGTACAGATTTGGGGCTGGAACAGTACAGATCCTGTTGGAAATGGCCTTGTGGCCAAGAGAACCAATGGTATCCTGGGGTGCATTAAAAAAGTGTGTCCTGTAGGTCTAGGGAGGTTCTCCTCCCCCTCTACTCTGCCCTGGTGAGACCACACCTGGAATACTGTGTCCAGTTTTGGGTTCCCCAATTCAAGAGAAACAGGGATCTACTGGAGAGAGTCCAACAGAGACTTACAAGGATGACTTCAACATCTCTCCTATGAAGAAAGGCTGAGAGGACTGGGGCTGTTTAGTCTTGAGAAGAGAAGGCAGAGAGGGGATCTTATTAATGTCATAGAATCACAGAATTACAGAATATTAGGGGCTGGAAGGGACCTCTGTTCCCCAATTCAAGAGAAACAGGGATCTACTGGAGAGAGTCCAACAGAGACTTACAAGGATGACTTCAACATCTCTCCTATGAAGAAAGGCTGAGAGGACTGGGGCTGTTTAGTCTTGAGAAGAGAAGGCAGAGAGGGGATCTTATTAATGTCATAGAATCACAGAATTACAGAATATTAGGGGCTGGAAGGGACCTCTGAAGGTCCCCCCCCCGCCTTCTTGATGCCCAGCCCTCATGTATTTATAGACATTAGTTAGATCTCCCCCAGCCTTCTCCTCTCCGGACTGAAAAGCCCCAGGTCTCTCAGCCTTTCCTCCTAAGGCAGGTGTTCCAGTCCCTTCATCATCCTTGTAGCCCTTCATTGGACTCTCTCAAGTAGATCCTTGTCCCTCTTGAACTGGGGAGCCCAGAACTGGACACAATGCTCCAAGTGGGGTCTCACCAGGGCTGAGTAGAGGAGAGGAGAACCTCCCTCGATCTGCTGGACACACTCCTCCTAATGCACCCCAAGATACCATCAGCCTTCTTGGCCACAAGGGCACATTGTTGTCCCATGGAGAACTTGTTGCCTACCAGGACTTCAAGGTCCTTGTCCATGGAGCTGCTCTCTACCAGATCACCTCCTAACCTGTACTGGTGCATTTTGTTGTTCCTTCCCAGGTGCAGGACTCTGCTTTTGTTGAACCTCATTAGGTTCCTCTTTGCCCAGCTCTCCAGCCTGTCCAAATCTTGCTGAATGGCTGCACAGCCTTCAGGTGAATCAGCCAATCCTCCCAGCTTTGTGTCATCAGCATGCTGAGAAGACATTCCGTCCCATCATCAAGGTCATTGATAAAGATGTGGAACAGGACTGGACCCAGCACTGATCCCTGAGAGACTCCACTAGTTACAAGTCTGCAGCTGAACTCCACCATTGATCACCACTCTTTGGGTTCTATTGTGTAGCCAGTTCTTAGACGATCTCACTATCCATTCTTTTAGCCCACATATTCTGAGCTTGCTCACAAGGATGTTATGGGAGACTGTCAAAAGCCTTCCTACATCCTCTGGTCTCCCTGCATCTATCCATTCAGTCACAACATCATAGAAAGCTATCAGATTAGTCAAGCATGAAGTCCCCTTGGTAAATCCATGCTGACTACTGATAACCTTCTTCTCTTCCATGTGCTATAAATATCTGAGGGATGGGTGTCAAGAGGAAGGGGCCAGTCTCTTTTTGATGGTGCCCAGTAATAAGACAAGAAGCAATGGGTATAAGCTAGAACACTGGAAGTTCCACCTCAACATGAGGAGGAACTTCTTTACTGTGAGGATTATGGAGCACTAGAACAGGCTCCCCAGAGAGGTAGGTTGTGGAGTCTCCTCTGGAGACTTTCAAAACTCTCCTGAATGCGTTTCTGTGTGATCTGCCCTAGGTGATCCTGTTTGGCTGGGATGTTGGGCTAGATGATCTCTAGAGGTCTCTTCCAACCCCTAAAATTCTATGCTTCTGTGATTCCATGATTTCAGCTTGGAGACCTTAAAAAGGGCAGAATCCCCCACACAAGCCTCAGAAAGCCTCCAGCCCACCCTAAGCACCCAGAAACCCTGTGTCCCAGTGGAGTCTGGATGCCTCCTTACGTGTGGTGCTGTGAGGAGAGGTGAGGAGGAGATGGCAGTAGAAGAGCGAGCAGCAGGTCGAGCTGGGCTGGAGGGAGGCAGGGACCGGGGGCTCTGGGATCCATCGCTGTCACTGCCGTGGCTGCTGGGTGGAGTTGGAGGCATCTGCACCAGGTCATCTACTGAGAAATAAGGAGATAATGTCAATGGATTTCATGTCAGACTGTTGGTACAGGCACAGGACCCTGAGTGCCAACAGAAAAAGACACTGCTATGACACAGGACTGAAAGGAGAGGGTGACGAGTCTCACAAGACAGGGTGAGTTTGAGAACAAGGCTGGACTGAACACTGCCCAAGACAGAGCTGAGACTGACCTCAAATGTGCTAAACTAGGAACTACAGCAGTCAGAGAGCTGGTAGTGGCTTTGCCAAGACACTGAAGTTATTTACAAAGCAATAAGGGACTCCAGTGTCAACCAAAATGGAGCACAAAGCCTGTGATGTTTTGCTCCATAGTTTGTTCACAAGCACAGGAAGCTCTGTAGGAGAAGAGCTCTTCCAAAAGTACCGCAGGGATAACACTCTTGCCAGCACACTTGATGCAAAGGGCTCAGGTCACTCGGTTGCCAAGCACTTGAAAACTGTCCCCACTTTGTACTGGAGAGCCCTGGGGGCCTTAATGGAGGTGGGAATATGCCTAAGAAAAAGTCTCTCTGCAGCAGTGGGAGTTCCTGTAGTGCTTTCATTTGAGCATCGGCAGATTTTCAGATGGTTGGGTTTCTTTCAAATTAAACTGGATCCTGAATTTCCTGACTTTTAGATGGTTGTTTTTGGATAACACTGCAGTCCCTCTGAGGATTTTAAAGGCACTCTTTGCATATTTCCAACTCTGAGGTAGCCTGTTTTGCCTGGGAGTCCCTGTCTGAATAATTTTCTATGTGCCTGCTGGTCCACACACTGATCTGAGTTGGAACAATGCAACATTCACTCCTCTCTTGGTCTGTGCCCCAGTATTACCTTGCATGCATGGCTCTGCTCTCAGGTGTTGTCTTTCCTCCTTATATTGTAATGATCTAGATTGGAGTAATATAGGGATATAAGTTGACCAGCATCTACTTACCTGCAGGTACATTTAGAAACTGGTTCACCTCCTTGGGTTCAGCTTTGATCACAGGTGCTGGAGTAATTTCTATGGGAGTCTACGGAAGAGAAGCAGAAAGAGCTCTGGGCACTGCCATTTTCCCCACCCAGAGGGCTCCCACAGTTCTGTTCATAGCCACTGCTTCCCTGCTCTCTGTACTGCCCTGTCTTACAGCTCTGCCCCAAAGCAGCCTCTCACCACACATAACAGACACCAGGAGTACAAACATAAGCCCCCTGAAGTCTGTTGTTACTGGGCACACAGAGTGCAAACACATGTTTGCAGAGGAAGAAGTAGTGGCAGATGGATGTGCTGCCAAGCTGTGCACTGAGTACCTCCGAAAGGGAGAGGACTTTTATCCTTAGCAATTCTTCCCTTGCTAGACCCAGACAGTGCAATTCAAATCAATCTATGTATTACCATGGGAAGTTCCTCTCTGATCTGCCTTCATTAGAAATGGGAGTATAGAGGTTGTACAGAAACAGAACAAACCCCCTGTCCTGTTCACATGATCTTCACCAGGGCTGCCTGGCAGCTGTTTCCAGTTGGAGGAGACTGAGAGTTAAATAAAGAGTAGATTTATTCCCATCTGGGCTATGCTGCCCCTCAGCTCCCTGGCTTACCAGTCCCCAGCCCACCATAGGCTGGGGGAGTTTTTACACTAAACAGACACATTGCAAACTCCTCCAGACTGTAAACACAGCTGAGAGAGCACCATGGTGTGGCTGCTGAGCACACACAGAAGAACTTCAAGGCCACAGCAAGTTCAAGCTGTGTAAATAATGGAGGAAGTTTGTGCACAGTTTTTGCTGGAAGCACCCATTTTTTGGGATTTTTTAAATGGGAAGATGCTCAGCACGAGTGAAAAAAGGAAGTGAACCCCTGAAATGCTCTACTGTTATCTACTGAGCTGCTCCAAGATAGCCAGGGTCTGTGTGAGACTGGTCAGACCTTCCCATCCAACATGGCTGGACTAAAGGGCAGGTGAACTGAGCCCCCGACTTACATCCATGTGCTGATGGCATAAGTGAGCCTCCTTCAGACAGACAGGCTTCTTAAGAACTTAGATATTACCAAAAGAGATGGCTCCATGTTT